CTAGTACTGGCATAATCCTGACCGCCTCAGTCCAAAAGTAAATATGGACTTGGAAACAACTCTGCAAATTCAAAAGGTACTTACCTAATAGTTTCACGGGCTTTTTGCCATAACTCATCGATTTCAGCAGCTGGCGTACCCGCTCGTTCTAACGCAAGCAGCGTTTGCTGCCACAACGCACAGCTATAGGGACAATGACGCACAGCTTGTTTGTAAACACGACACGTGATCTGAAGGACTGCTCCTTCGAGTGTAATAACTCATGAGCCTCACATATTCGTTCTTTTGGCAACGAAAACAGAGGTGTTTTCATCCATTTGCAAGAATAGACCCTTACCGAGTGCACTTTCAGCTTTGTTTCACACCACTGGCCATAATCAAACCAAACATTTTCATTTTCACTGTGCTTGTCCAACATGCGATTGTAAAATGCCTGTATTCTTCCGGGATCGTCGTTCTCTGAAAAAGTTCTGGAAGTGTTTTGTAAAGAGTCCTCCACGGGAAAACCATCTCACTATACAAAAAAGCCATAAGGCTCCATACTTTGCAGCACCGTCCACCAGCGACCACCATCGTTTCATGTGTTCGCGAGCAGCAGCGACCAGGAAACCATAGACATCAATTTAACGGACGCCGGCGGCCACCAGTGTCTACCAGCGTGCAGCAACGGATAGTATGAGGGAGTAGGAAGGTAGCAGACTGCAGTGTACAGTATGGGAAAGGGGTTAGACACAGGGTACAATCGTGATGTGAGAAATGGTGATGTCAGTACGACCACCCCGCCTCGAAGGAGGGTCTCGGTACGACCGCCCCTCTCCCAACAATGACCATATACGACCCCTCGACCTCCCCCCCCGCGAACAGCGAACAAGTACGACCCCCATGTGGTTTGATGCAACATGCTGTGTCCTGATCAGACAGCGGTCTTAGGCGGTGCGATTGCACATGCGTAATCGTGGCATGTGCAATCGCACCGTATTACTACACAATACCGTACATTACATTGCATAATTCTGTGCTTCGGCAGTTATACGGTGCGGTTGCACACGATGTACACCACGACGCCTAATTCAAATGTCTGCTCCCTCCTTTTCCCCGCACCCTCCAGGGAGTCGTGGAGTGGAGAGCACGGGGAAGTAGAAGTCTGCTCGATTCCTACTTCCCCATACCCTCCACTCCGCGCTGGTGTTCACTCTATCGATATCCGTAGTTTCCTAGTAGCTCTTGAACGCTGCCGCAAAGTATGCAGTCTAATCAAACACTCGTATATTAAGAATATAGGAACTGAAGCAAACACGTTCTCGTTGATCTACAGAAAAACAACCCTCGCCCCCAGATGCTAACATTAGATAGACGAAACCATTCACCTTTCTCAAAGCTGAGATACTCATAAAATGCTTCCAGACTGTCGTCGGTTTCAGCGAGCTTCAGTTCGAATTTTGAGAACTCCTTCATTTCATTAACAGTGGCCTCATGAATTTGACGAATTTCGTCGTCTACCTGTTCGCCTGGAAAACTCGACTTGCGAATGCGATTAACTGGTTTTAATAAGGCAGACAGTACATCGCTAATCTTTACGAAATAAGACCTGCAAACTCCAGGTAACTGTTCCAGGTGTCAGCGATGTCGACGCTGGGTACACGCAGGGCTCGTTTATACAAAGATGCGACGGTTTTCCGCT